AATGAGACAAACTAGCTCCTGCTCCTCCCTCTATCCCCGCCTCCCACACCCTACCTGGATAATTCCGCAGACGTCATTTTAAGCATCATCTCCTTGTAGAAGCTTTTCCTGACTACCAAAGAAATCCCTCCTGTCTTCCACCTGAGGGGCCCTCTGCTGCCTTCTCACAGCCACCAAGTCCCCCTCCCTGACCTCCACCTCAGCAGGAGCACTCCATACACTGGCTGGCAGTGTCCAATGAGCATCTGAATGTCAGGAACCATATCTTCAAGTCTGGCCCCAGAATAGTTTAGAGAATCTGCAAAATGTTCAAACTCTGCCACCCTGCCCATTATGGTGAGCTCCCCTGGGGCAGCTTGCCTACAAGATCCTGCCTGTGGCAGTTCTCCAAGGCTGGCAACCTTCAAGAGGCATGGGTGCTATTGTGAGACTTGGTGGAACTGGACCCAGCTCCATCACCAGACCAAATGTGCAGGTAAAGCTCTCCTTCCTGCAGGCTTGCTTCTTCTGTCAGATGAAAGGGTGGGATTTTGAGCTCTAATGATATGTCCTTCATAAAAGAACATAAAAAGCCGAATGACCTAAACATAAAAGCCGAATGACCAACCAGACAGTTTTAAAGAAGACAAGTAAAAGTTTATTGTGTTGAGCAGACCTTATTTTCATTACAGTACCAGGAAATTCATTCTCCACTCACTTCGGGTGCAGAGGGCTCTGCAGACACCTAGGGCCCCGGTACTTGTTCCCAAGCAAGGGGCAGCACCTGCACCTATGTTGCATTTAACGAGCAGGATTACAGTAAAACAGAATAGTTATAAAGAAGGTTTTCTAAATACATACTTTCCTTTAAAAATTCTAGTATTTTTCATTTTTTCTGTTTACCTCATTATCATCAAGGATAACTGGTTGGAAAACATAGTGTTGATAATCTTTTTCCCAAATCATTTGCCTTGAATTTTGCTACTTTTACTCTGACGAGGATTTATGCCCACTTCTCTGGACATCTAAATAATGACGAATAAGGCAATGCATAAATTACAGGTGGGATGAAGGCCTTAGCTCATACCCCAACTTGTTTCTTCTTAAATCTTCCACATTTGGCCTCTATGTTGCTAGGTAATTTAAGATTCAGGAGACAGCCTCTTGCTTGCAAAATCAGTATCAGGGAGTTTAAGCTTAATGTGCTACTTTTGGGGAGCATGCCGCTGCTTGAAGCTGATTTTGTGGTTTCGTTTTATAAACTGTCAGCACTCAATGGCACCCTGAAGGGGAGAGACCATCTACTTAGTGCACTGACTCACTACTACCCACAAGTGTCATTTCTGAATTAGATCAAGAAATCAAATAGCAAATGAAAGAGAAATTGGTATACTCCAGATAGTCTGAAATATTAATTACAACCTGAGTTAATGAAGTCAAATTTGCTTGAATTCAATCAGGCAATTACCAAAGTTGTGATTGAGATCTTCCCCCACTACATCAAGACAGGGAAAACATGAATTTAAGTAAAAAATGTTATCCCACCAAACTAGACACATGACAGCTATATTTAACTCTAATCATCCCACAAAAATGTCCCCATAAAATCAAATACTTAAAAAATTATTAAAATTATACAACAGTTGAATATACACTTAAATTACTTTGTGCACAATGCACCTTCCATTTGTTGTTGCCAAGAAAAACTTTCCATTTACCAAATGATCTACCAGTTTACCAGGTGATTTAGCAGAACATTTCCATCTCCATGAAATCTGACACCATTAGCATTAACATTGGAATCAGAAAAACACACTAGAAATTCCCTTGTGACTCATTCATGGCAATTTTAGAAAAGGGCTACTTTCAAGTACCCGAGTTTACTCACAGGGGAGATGTAAGGTAAGAGGAATTTTACTCAATCGTAGGAGGGTGGTGTCTGACTTGTTCCAAATTACAGTGGCAGTCAAGTATGATTCCCAGCTAAAGGACAACGGAATTTCCTTCCTATTAGCTGGGCCCGTCCCTTCTGAAAACCCCACTCACACCGCCAGCTTCCGGACCTTCGTTCAGGGACCACGTCCTGCAACCAGACAGAAGTTGTTCCTTCAAGTACAGCCTCCACATGGTTCACAGCATGAGGACTGGAGGAGAGCAGAGTTCATTAAGCTCCGTTCCTGGAAACGATTTCTGAAACATATGTAAAATCTTTGCTCTCCCACGAGCTGAGTTCATGAAACAAGGGCCTACCGCGAGGCATATACATATAGTAGGTAGGCAAACATCTGCATGTTTCCGTTAGAAACGCCACATCTTGAGATTCGACACCTTATCATCCTTATGGGAAACTAATGTGTCATCATTCTCGGTGTGGTCAGTACTGAGTTCAATTGTAAAACACACTTAGGCATGCCTTCTCAGCTCCAGCAGCAGACTGTGTGAATGGGGTTTGGTCTCAAATACCACTGTTCATAGAACACAAAAACTCACATGTTGCATGTCATTCGGACATGTCACATTATTTCACATCACACTGGCCCTGATTCATAAAGAAAATTTCCCATTATGGCATGATGAGAGACAACAAATCCCGTTCCATAAAAATGATGGTTAAAAACAATGCACTGTGAACAGTTTCCAGAACCTTGAGCATTTCAGTGCCATCAACTCTTGCTTCTTGGGAAAAAAATCTCTATCTTTTGGGTCACAATTTGCTTTCGCACAGTAGAGTCAATGGACAAAGCTGACCAAGACCAAATTTTAGTGGTATTATCATTTCCTAGGACATTAGAGGTTCATCCTGAAAGATACTGTTGCCACGTGTACCAAGAGAAGGAAGGAAGGCCCTACACCACTTCAAAAGCAAACGAGGTCTTACACACTTAGAAACAACTACTGACAAGACTTGTGCTTAGGGTGGTGATGGACAAGAGCAGTGAGGACACACACTACACGGAGAACAGATATCACACTGTATGTTCCTCACATGGAATATGCATAAGAGACCTAGTGGAAAGACATGGAGAAAGGTGGCATGCTCCATGTCCCAAGGGAACCAGTATTTAAAAAGCACACCCCATTGACTTTAGTATTTCCCACTCAATCTCCCAGAAAATCAACTCGGAAAGTACACAGTTCTGTTCACGGGTGTAGACTGAAGTGGTGGTGGCAGAAGGCTCTCTGACAGCTTTTCTTCGATCCAAGATGAGGCTAAACAAATGTTTTTTGTTCTCATTGATTCTATCCCTTCAGCTGCTCTGACAAGTGAGTGGCAGGGCAGGGGGGGAATCAAGCTACAGCCTTTGTCAACAGCAATGACTCTGAGGGACCTTTTCAGTCTTGGATCCATTTATCTAAAAATTTGAGCTCCCTTCTTCCCAACTTTTAATGGAATTATAAAAGCTCCTTCTGACTGACTGAGAGACTCCTAAGCTAACTTTTGCTTATGTGACTATAGAAAAAAAATAAATTACTTGATATTTGCCATAAGACTTTGATTTCTAAAAAAGACTGAAAACCTATGTTCCCTGGCTTAGAAGAGCGAGGAATCAGCTATCATTTGCAGCCCCTCCTCACATTTGTAAAAAGCAGGCAAAATATTAGGGACAAAAATGGTTTTGCAATGGAAGGAGGCACAGTCCACAGGAGTGTTCTTGTGTACCCTGCAGCCTGGGCAGACAGAGGGAAGGCCCTAGAGCCTCACGCCCATGTAGGCCGAAAACACACCAGAAGACTCCCTCTGGGTGCCTCCCAACACTGCCCACTCACCAGGAGAGGGCACTCCAGAAGGGCCACTCTGGGCCACTGAAGTAAAGACACTAAGAGCAGGGCTGATGCTGCTTCAAGATGCAACTATGTGCTGTCAGAAGAGTGGTGTGCCGGCAATTTCGGCAAACCAGAGGCAGCCCACAGCACTGAACTAAAAGGAATAGAGGACCACGTACAGAGGAACACGGATTACAGTCAACATCTCTCCTCTTCTCAGCTCTGGGAGTCCTGCGTAGAGAAAAGTCAAAGCCAACTTTGCCTGGGTCTGCGAAAGAACCCCCTGCCCCCTACCCAGAGGAGCAGAAGGTGGATGATGTGATGACCTTCCCGAGGGAGACTGGAGCCCCTCAAGATGGATCACCAGAGGGGCTCACTATGGCTGTATCCAGTGAGGAAATCAATAACAGACTTTTTTTTTTTTTTTAAGAAAGTGGGAAGAAAAAGTAAAGACTTTCACAAATAGAAAAATTATTTACAAAACAATTTCCTAAGAAGTTTACTGGGGTTGGGTGGGGAATAAGAATGTTTTCATTTTAAATTAGTCACGTGGTACTGACGGTTTATAACAGGGAATGGCCAATTTCTGTCTTCTTCACCTCCCCCAAAATACCCTAAAGTCCTCCTACTCCTGATATGTTTCCTACCCTCATCCCAACCCACCCCATCTTGTCCCCAAATTAATTGCCTGGAGCCAATCTCAAAGACACATGATTGTTGGTTGGGTTTCCATTTAACAATGAACCCACTGCTGGGGAAGAGAACACAAGGACACAGGACGCACTGGCATAAACCTCAAGGTGTGTGGACCTCGGACAAAGCTTCTGCCACCACAGCACAGGCTGCAGACTGAGCTCCGCTATCAGTAAACTGAGGTAAGGAAGAACATGGCAGCTCTGGCGGGTCGGCTTCCCATGGTGATGCAGCATGTGTGTGCTCTTGGTGTGGGCACCACAGGACTCATTTTCTTCCAGTTGCCTCTGCCATTTTCCCTTCTGGTTAGAAGACTGCTCTTTACAGAGTCCCAAAAGATCAGCCACTTGTCTTCCTCTGAGGTACAAATCCAATAGAGCCTTGACTCCAAAGATCCAGAGCCCACTGGCGTGTAGAAGTCAAAATCAAATGCTCAGAATCAAAAGATGTGGCACGCCTGCCCAGCCAGTTTATCAGCAGTTGTAAAGACAGATCAGAAAAAACTAGCATTTAATACAAAAAGTGTTTTTCAAATGGTGCAATTTCCTGTCCTCCTGTGAAGATCATAATTCTTCTCGTTTCTGAGGTCCTGTGGAAAAGGAGAACAATTGAAAATAAAATGGTTTTATCCTCAAGTGACAAAAATACAGACTGAATATTTTTTCTGGTACTGTAACCTATTAATTGTGGCCCCACCTCCATTTTATCTCTATTTTGAAATTTTTAGGAGCTTTGGTGTGGAGTGTTTGTATTATATTTTGAAAGCAAAAACAAAACAAAAAAGACCATTTTGTTTTTAAAAACACTGAAACCACCTGCATATCCCTATTCCTGCAGAACTGTTTCACAAATACAATCTTTACTTCTGGTAAAAATATACACATTTTTAGTCAAGATTCTTCTTTTTTCATTTAATAACACACAAACACATTTTCCTAAGTAAAAGTGTAGCTCATTTACCACTCTCTATTCCTAGATGTTTAAACTGTTAATAATTTTGGTTTACTGGGGAGCCTGGGTGGTTCAGTCAGTTAAGCATCTAACTCTTGACTTTGGCTCAGGTCATGATCTCATGGTTCATGGGATCGAGCCTCACATAGGGCTCTGTGCTGATGGCACGGAGCCTGCTTGGGATTCTCTCTCCCTCTCTGCCACTCCCCCACTTGCTCACGCATACACTCTCTCTCAAAATAAAAAAATAAACTTAAAAAAATAATTTTGGTTCAGGAGCACCTGGGTGGCTCAGTCGGTTAAGTGTCTGACTCGGCTCAGGTCATGACCTCATGTTTCATGGGTTTGAGCCCACATCAGGCCCTATGCTGACAGCTCAGAGCCTGGAGCCTGCTTCGGATTCTGCGTCTTCCTCTCTCTCTGTCCCTCCCCCACTAGCACTCTCTCTCTCTCTCAAAAATAAACATTAAAAAAATAATAATTAAAAAAAGTAATTTTGGTTTATAAATAATAAATTTCTCCATTTTTATTACTTTTTTCTTATGTGAACTTATTTAAGGTAAATTCTCAAGAAAGGAATTACTGAGGGTATAAACATGTTAATGGTTTCTGCTTTTTAACAAGGACTGTTCTAATATACAGAGCTTTGGCAAGGTAGACCCAGAGCACTTTCCTCATCATCTTCCCAACAAATAGCATTATCAGTATCAATATGCACATTTTTTCAATGGAGTGTATATATATATTTTTTTAATGTTTATTTTTGAGAGAGAGAGAGAGAGAGCACGAGAAGGGGAGGGGCAGAGAGGGAGACACAGAATCTGAAGCAGGCTCCAGGCTGTCAGCATAGAGCCCAACGCGGAGCTCGAACTCACAAGCCATGAGATCATGACCGGAGCCAAAGTTGGGCGTTTAACCAACTGAGCCACCCAGGTGCCCCTCAAGGGAATATTTATTAACAACAGATTCCTTTAATGTGACTGCTGTTTTCTCAACTTCATTTATTTGTGTTTTCCTCTTATTTGAACAGAATTGTACATTATTTACCCACGTATCGATAGAAATCCTTCAGGTGTTAATAGCGAATTTGAATTATTTTTATTATTTTTATTTTATTATTATTATTTTATGATACTTAACAACATAGTACAGTCTTCGGGATGATTAGGTGAATCACTCAAGATCCATGTTCTGTAACTGACTTCTTAGAATTAGTTTTGAGCTGAATAATGTTAAAAATCCAGAATTCAGCTTATTAATAGTTTACAAATGGTCACTATTGTATTCTAATGATTTTTGTCAACTGTATACCATTAGAGATTTACATAAGAGTGGGGAAAATATTACATGAAGATTTAGTCCCTTCTATTCTTAGCCTAAATTAAATAAGTCCACTCCAATATTCTTCTTTGAAAGAACACTTTTTTTTTCAAAATCAATATACACTTTGTCTTGACCCTAAATATGTTCATTTAATAATGCCTGGACAGATTTAATAAAAAACCAAGGAATCTGACAAAAGATCCCCAAAGTAATGTCAGGCTTAGCTTATATATCACAAAATTCATGAGCCTAAATAACAGAATTCTCAACGCACCTTTTCTCAAAAAGATAAAATAAAATAAAATAAGGGAAAAGAAAAGGGGGCAGCAACTGTATTAATACATACGTTTAGAAGGCCAACTAAAAAAGCAAAGTAAAAATATACACTGGTTGATGTCAGGATGGAAGGGCTGAGATTCCTTTTATTCATTATTCTGTTGTTTTTGCAACAAACACAAATCAGAAATGCAAATAAGTACTTCCCTAAGGCTGACCGCTGGACCTACCTTCCCAGCGTGGCTCCTGTGTTGTCTTCTTGTCCAGCATTCCTGTCTCTTTCTCCCTCTGGAACTGGGTCTGTAGCTGCTTGATCTCTTGGTCGTAGTCCTGCCACTCTGGGACAATTCGAACAGCTGCTTCCAGCTTGGGCTCTTTGGTCATTGGATTATTACACTGTAAAACCCAAATCACATGCTTCAACCAAGCTGAAGACAGGGCACATTATACAGAATTCAAAGATGTGTCTGTTCTTGGATTCTAAGTCCCAACTGAACAAAAAGAACAACACTGAAGAACCAAATGAGAGACCAGCAGAAGCAATGTGGTAGTGGGTCACATAAAGCTTCTAAAAAATTGTGGAGAATGACTGGAAAGCAGGAACTGAAAGTTCCTTTGATAAAATTACAAGGCACAGAGATAATCCATGGACAAGTAGTGTAAGTAGTGAAACAGCCCCATCAGACACCAGAGAACCTGGCTGCCTGCTGCATGCAACAGAGATCTGTGGATGTTACTACAGGATGTGCTACAGTCCCCCAACTGCACAACTACAGAGAAGACTAAAGAAGAATCTGTGTGTTAATAACGATCTAGTCATAAATCACACTGGAATAAGATGTAGAAAAGAACCACAGACAGCTTACCAAATCTATTGTTTTAGCCCTTTTCTTAGAGGCATCATCACACCACGTTTCACACCAAAGCCATTCTTGAGGGAGTGATTTAATTGGCACCTGATGGATCATGTTATTGGGCAAATCCTGTTTGGTAAAAAGAAAATAAGACACAATACTCTCAAGTTCTGAGGGAAACTGAAATAAACTCAGAGCAAATTAGCGGTAATGGCTGCTCATTACATATCACATACCAATCACAATTTTTTAGAACTGAAAGGGTCTACTAAAAACCTGTGAGAAGCTAAAATACTTATTTGTGATTTTTTGTAAAACTACAGTTTAGAGGACTTCTAAAACATCTACCTATGATAAGCACCTGAAAAACTTTAGCTTAAAACTCACAAATAACCTACACCTAGACTTCTCTCCATGAGGGCAATTCTAAGAAAAATACTAGTGCTTCTTGAAAGTTAACTAATCATAGAGTGTGGTTTTGATACTTCACAACTTTGCATAAAGGATGCTCCAAATCAACCTTGTCAACTGAGGCTTGATCCCAAGTGGATGAAGCTTACATGTTTTCAAGCCAACTGTATGCTTTGAAGCTTTTTCTCAGGAAAACTTTTGAGTTTGACACAATAAAATGTTGCACTATGTTAAGACACAACCAATATGATCCAGAAATTCCACTTCTGGATATATGCACAAAAGAAAGCAGGGACTCAAACAGATACTTGTACACCAATGTTCACACAGGCATTATTCACAATAGTCAAAAGATGGAAATAAGCCAAATGTCCATTAACAGATGAATAGATATACAAAATATGGTGTGTGTGTGTGTATACACACATACACACACACACACACACACACAGGAAAATTCTTTCAGCTTAACAGGAAGGAAATTCTGAAAGCTGCTATGACATGGATGAAACTTGAAAACATTATACGAAGTAAAATAAGCCAGGCACAAAAAGGAAAAATATTATATGATTCTAAAAGTACCTAGAATAGGCAAGTTCATACAGAAAGAAAATAGAATAGAGGTTGTCAGGGACTGGAGGGAGGAAGGAAGGTGGAGTTGCCATTTAATGGGTACAGAGTTTTGGTCTGGGATGATGCAAAACTTCTGGAGATGGACAGCTGCACAACACTGTGAATTCACTTAACACCACTGAACCGTCCACTCAAAAATGGTTAAAGTGATAAACTTTGTGTTACCTGAATTATACCTAATATTACAGATAAAGACACTTGTAGATGAGAAAAATTGAAAAAAATTGTTACTAGTGAACTTACACTAAGGAAAATTAAAGGATATTCTTTAGGCAGAAGGAAAATAATCCTATATGGAAGCTCAGAAATGCAGAGAAGATTGCAGGGTAACCACATGAGCAAATCTAAATAGATAACAATCCCATTGTAGGAGAAGAACTTCTGGGGTTTAAAATACAGAGATATCTAAAATCCACAGCAACAGCCATTCAGGCTGGGATAAGGATAAATGGAGTCAGTGAATTCTAAGGCCAGTACTCAACCTGAGGTTATGCAGATGCAGCAAGGAGTCTGCTAGGAATGTCGGCTCTTAGGCCCAACCATACATACACCTACTGAACTGGCCCATGCGAATGGGACCCAGGAATGAATGCTTCAATAAGTTCTCCAGGTGAATCTTTTATGTATGCTGAAGTTTGAAAAGCACTGTTCTAATGTTTTTGCACTGTGTGGTAGGTGCAAATATACCAACTAGTATTAGCCTTTGCAAAGTCGGGAGTGCATACTGTAACCTCTAGGATAATCATTAAAAGAACTGCAAAAAAGTATATAGTTCAAGGGGCTCCTGGCTGGCTCAGTCAGTGGAGCATGTGACTCCTGTTCTTTGGGTTGTGAGTTTGAGCTCCACACTGGGTGTAGAGATTACTTAAAAATTTAAAAATCTTTGGGGCGCCTGGGTGGCGCAGTCGGTTAAGCGTCCGACTTCAGCCAGGTCACGATCTCGCGGTCCGTGAGTTCGAGCCCCGCGTCAGGCTCTGGGCTGATGGCTCGGAGCCTGGAGGCTGTTTCCAATTCTGTGTCTCCCTCTCTCTCTGCCCCTCCCCCGTTCATGCTCTGTCTCTCTCTGTCCCCAAAATAAATAAACGTTGAAAAAAAAAAAATTTAAAAAAAAAAAAAATTTAAAAATCTTTAAAAAAAAGTGTATAGTTCAAGCTAGTAGAGGGAAGATGGTATTATAAAAACCTCTCCATCTGAAGGAAACTAAGGAGAAAAAAGAAACAGAACACATAAAATAAGCAGAAACACTAGAAAAGCCAGTCTTACTGGTGATTACGTTAACTATAAATGGACTAAATGTTCAAATTAAATGACTTATACAAAATGTAAAAACCAACAGATATAAGCCTATTTATAAGAAATGGAACTGGGGTGCGTGGGTGGCTTAGTTGGTTAAGCGTGCAACTTCGGCTCAGGTCATGATCTCACAGTTTGTGGGTTCGAGCCCTGCATTGGGCTCTGTGCTGACAGCTCAGAGCCTGGAGCCTGCTTTGGATTCTGTGTCTCCCTCTCTCTCTCTGCCCCTCCCCCACTGTCTCTGTCTCTCAAAAATGAATAAATGTTAAAAAAAATTTTTTTAATAGAACTAAAATATAAGGATAGAAAAAATTGAAAATAGAAGGATAAAAACAATATACCATTTAACAATAACCAAAAGGAAAGCTGGCATAGATGTACTAATATTGGGTAAAGGTTCCCCCAACAAAAATCATTAAAAATTCAGTTGTAGGATATATATGCTTCTAAGTTTTAGGTACCTAATGGTATAGTCTCAAAACACATAAAGCAAAATTTGACAAAACCAGAGATGAGGAAGATATCACAATACAGAAAAATATTTTAATACAATTCCCTCAGTAACTAATAGAAAAACAGACAAAAACACATAATATGACCAATGGACTATACCTAATATCTACAGAATACAAAAAACCAAATGAAATGTTTACCAAAACTGATGACATTTGGGTCTAAAAGTAAATCTCCACAAATTTCAAATTTCTGAAATCATACAGAAGAAATCCTCAAATCATAAAGCCACTGAGCTACAAATTAATAGCAAAAACGTAACTAGAAAATCCCTGTGTATTTGGAATCACTTCTACATTACTTAAGAGTCAAAGACGGGGCGCCTGGGTGGCTCAGTCGGTTAAGCATCCGACTTCAGCTCAGGTCACGATCTTGCGGTCTGTGGGTTCGAGCCCCGCGTCAGGCTCTGGGCTGATGGCTCAGAGCCTGGAGCCTGCTTCTGATTCTGTGTCTCCCTCTCTCTTTGCCCCTCCCCCGTTCATGCTCTGTCTCTCTCTGTCCCAAAAGTAAATAAACGTTAAAAAAAAAAAAATTTTTTTAAAAAAGAGTCAAAGACATCACACTGGAAACTAGAAAATACATTGTACCAAATGACAAGGAAAATGCTACATATAAAACATGTGCAATGAGGCCAAAGTCTTGCTGAGATAGAATCTGATCATTTCAAATGCATATATTAGAAAGACTAAAAATTATGAACTAAACATCTCAGGAAATTAGGAAAAAAAATCAACAAATTAAATAAAGTAACAGGTAAGCACAATAAAGAACAAATTAATGAAACAGAAAAGAAACAGGATGAAAAACATTAAAAGATGTTTCTTTTTTTTAATGTATATTTATTTTAAGCAAGAGTGAGTACGCGCATGCAAGCAAAAGAGGGACAGAAAGAGAGAGAGACACAGAGAAAGAGACAGAGAGAGAATCCTAAGCAGGCTCTGTACGGTCAGCATGGAGCCCGATGTGGGGCTTGATCTCAAGAACTGTGAGATCATGATCTGAGCTGAAATCAAGAGCTGGACACTCAACTGACTAAGCCACCCAGGTGCCCCTAAAAGATGTTTCTTTAATTCCCAGTGAGGTGATAAAGGCAAAAAAGAGAAAGCACAGTAAACAATGTCAGAAAATTATAAAAGATAGAGAAAGAGAGAGAGAGAGAAGACATCAATATAGATCCAGCAGACTTTAACTGAAGTGATGAAAGCATTTTCCAAAACTGATTATACAGTGCACTTAAAATCTGAACATGTTGCACTATATAAATTATATCTCAATTTTACTTATTTTTTAATGTTAATTTATTTTTGAGAGAGAACAGAGCATGAGTGGGGGAGAGGCAGACACAGAATCCAAAGCAAGCTCCAGGCTCTGAGCTGTCAGTCCAATATGGGGGGGTCCAATGTGGGGCTTGAGCTCACAAACTATGAAATCATGCCCTGAGCCTAAGTTGGATGCTCAACTGACTGAGCCACTCAGGAGCCCCTACATCTCAATTTTAAAAAATGAGAGGGTAGTACGGGGCACCTGGGTGGCTCAGGTCATAATCTCGCAGTCGGTAAGTTCAAGTCCCATGTCAGGCTCTGTGCCGACAGCTCAGAGCCTGGAGCCTGCTTCAGATTCTGTGTCTCCCTCTCTCTCTGCCACCCACCCCCCCACTCCCACTCATGCTCTGTGTCTATCTCTCTCTCAAAAATAAACATTAAAAATTTTGTTTAAAAAATGAGAGGGTAGTATAAACAACTTCATGATGATATGTTAGTAAATTTAGCGACACCTTAACAAAAACATTGATTAAAGTAGTAATAGAAAATGTCAACAGTCCCATAACTCTTTTTTTTTTTATTTTTTTTTAATGTTTATTTATTTTTGAGAGAGACAGAGACAGAATGAGAGTGGGTTGGGGCAGAGAGAGAGGGAGATACAGAATCTGAAGCAGGCTCCAGGCTCTGAGCTGTCAGCACAGAGCTTGACATGGGGCTCAAATTCACGAGCTATGAGATCATGACCTGAGCCAAAGTCAGACACTCAACCAACTGAGCCACCCAGGCACCCCTACAGTCCCATAACTCTTAAAGAAACTGAAGTCATAATTTAAACACAAAGAAATTTCTATTAGGCTTCACTAGTGAATTCTACCAAACATTTAAGAAAGAAATAAGGTCAATCTTACACAAACCATTACTGGTAAATGAAAAAAGAAAAAAACAAAACCCAACTCATTTTAGTAAGCCAATATAGCCTCAACACCAAAATCTGACAGAGATATTACAAGCTATTAT